TGCAATTCCAATCCACATTCGATCATGATCTTCGCAATAAAGTGGAATGAAAATACCTTGCATGAGAAAGGCCTCTCTTGTAATAATGAGATTTAAACAGGAGCCCAGATCTCATTTTTCACCTCAAATTCAAAAAAATCCTACTTGGAGACCAGGTCCAAGAGCTCTACCAACAGCAATGGATCTCCACCAGCTACGCAGGGCCGATGGCTTCTGCACAACGATGGCCACATTATTGGTAGAGACATCACAGCAGATCACTCGTGGTTGCTCACCGCCGGCGTCATCATCTGCATCAACACCACCGTCGTCCAGCTGCCCCTCATGGAGGGAGAGCGTAGGCGCAGGGCAGTGCATCACGACGCCCCACTGCAGGGTGCATTCACCCGTGCCGCGACTTGAGCAAGTCAGCATGAGCCGCAGAGCATCATCGCCGGCCGACCATGCGAGCTGCAACGATTTGGGCAGCGCATTGCGCACTTCCACCACCACTGTGAATGACGCTAAGTCCTGTCGAACTCGCACTGAAGCCAACGACCTGCAAATATACGCTCATTTTCAGTCTCGAATCTGGCCAAAGGGGGAAGAAGAAGAGGTAGTGATCCCAATATGACCTACGATGTCTTTGGAACTACCAGCTTTACCGATGGCAGCCGATGCAAGTTGATTGCATGCATAGTCTCAACGGTGTGCGCTGAGACCCCGTTAGGGGGATCTACACTCGACCCGGATTCGCTGATCGAATTAGAATGTTTCCCACGCTTCTTCCGTCTACGTTTTTTACCAGAAGACAAAAAATCATCAATCTCAGCAGTAACAGGCGTAACACTGTCGCCTCCATCCGGTTGTTTAGTTGTAGACGGTAGAACCTCAATTAGAGGCACAGAGTTGTCAATGGGTGATTCGGCTTCTGCCTTGGCCTTTGACTCAGCCATTACTGGCTTTATTACTGGTGCCGGAATTACGGGAAATGTTAGAAGGAGTTCATGCGTAGATTTGTTGAACTTTGCTTTTCCCTTTTCCGATTCCACGGGGTACGGTAAGTCTAGTTCCAATTGATATGCTGTGGGTTTCTCGCACTGAAATGGGGAAAAAAAAATAAAAATTGTTAAATGAAGTGGCTACTAACCAAGTTGGTGTGTTACTTCTTTCTTTGAATATATTTCTCCCCCAAACTCTCACGCAACAACACTCGTGATTCAAGCGATGAGCATTCGCCTTTCAGTACAAGGCATAAAATCCGACTTTTCTATGAAGTAGGCACTTAATGAAAGAGAAAACACACGTACAACTCTCTAAAAGTGGATGGTACGCGTAGACAGCACAATAATAGCAAGCAGACCAGTTGTTTTCTTTACTCGATTCGAGACAATACAACGCTACCACACACACGCGTTCCAGGGTCTAGTGCTATAAAAGTGGCACAAAAAGGCCGGCGAGATAAGTGGCACTTTTGTGCGCACAGCCAAGAGGAGTAAAAACAACAGAGAACCACTGATTATAGCGAGTGGAAGAAAATCGGGCATTTTGGTTGATGATAGACCCTAACCACTTTTTCACCCACTTGCAAGTGTAACTTCCTCTCCGTGATATCGAGATCCAAGCAGGCTGCAGATTCAATACCCGGTAAGGCGATTTCCACTTTGATGGCAGTGGGCCGCGTGGAGCGGATATCATGACAGCAGTCGTTAGTGTAGTCCAGCATATCAAATTCTGAGCTGTGGGTGATCGTGACATCAGGCTTTTTGTACTTCGATGACAGACCCGTCTCCTCCCCTTCAGGCGTCGTTTCAACAGTCCCCATATGCTCATCCAAGCATCGCTTGTACTTGGCGAGAGCGGCTAAACTCTCCCTGGCATTGGGACCACTGCGGGCCTCATCGAACGCCGCCTTCTCCGCCTCCGCCAGCCGCTCCTGGCATTGCGCAAAGTCAGCGCGCTTCCGACGAATAACAGTAGCTCTAAGGAGACCTTTATGAGTCAGACCCTTGAGGAGACGCACTGAGGCGAGAATGGACTTTTCTTCTAAGCGTGACGACAACCAGGCGGTCTTGGCCTGTTCTCTGGTGAGACCGAGGAAGAAACCAAATTGTCGGTGTACACCCTCCACCGCGGTAGCATGGAGCAAATTGCGCAGAAATTTTAAGCCCTTTGAACGCTCAATCGCCTCGGGGTGAAACACCACATCGACGACCTTTAAACAAAGACATAAAGGTCATAGCCAATCGAAACAATGCGAAAGAATAGGGTCAGTTAAGGAATCAGCAGTTTGCCCAGCAGATACCGCCTCCTAGTTGAACATACAATTTCAGCATTAAATGTTGCGTTTTTTGGTGGCATTTCTTGAATGGGATTCCGTTTAAGGTCTTGATGATATCTGTGCTCACACAAAAAATACCAGTTCACAGCATCAAGAACAGGGCGTTCCCAGAGCAGTGCAAAAACAGGCTCCCAATCTACGGATGTGGCTAAAGATAGCGATTCCTAAATATGCACTTTCAAAATTAAATAGTAACAACAGTTTCGGCGACCAAATTGCTTGAAGGATATAAAGACTAACTGGAAGACGGGTAGCCATGGCTTTAAAACTTATAGCGAAAGGCCTATGATTCAAGGGTTCTAAAAACGATAGGGGAAAGAAGCCATTCGCATATATTCCAGAGTAATGCGATTTTAAACAATATCCTCGTTCATTCGCTTTCCCGCATATAAGCAAAAGTCTCTTTTGAAACGCAGCACGAGGGTATATGTACCTGAATACCAATAGATGGCTGCTACAAAATATTGATGGCAAAATAAGTAAAAAATGATGGTTAAAGGATCTTTACACACATACAAGACGGTGTAGGTATGTGAAACGGTAATCCGTGGTTTTTGTACCATACCAATGCACCAGCTCACATTTTGATAGGTTATTCCGTAAAATGGCTCTCACTAGTTCTAAATTCGTCCCGCAATCTCAATAATGAGTGAATTGATATGACAACATTACGATAGCAGCGCCGAGGTACTTATATGCAAACAGTGTAAAAGCTGCTGCTAACAATGATATTAAAACATAAAATGAAAATTTTGTGATTGATCTAATCAACAAGGCTGACAATGCATAACAAAAGGCATTAGGACATTCGGTGAATTCCTTTTAATTAAAATGAATGCAGCATCAGTGGAACTAAACCACCACTAATATTTGAGCTACTGCGCCATTCCAATTTCGATAACGTGCAAATCGCACATGCTTAAATGTTGATTTGTTTGGAGTTAATTTTTTTCGCCGATTAACCCCAAAGAAAAAGGACTCAATAAATACTTGATGAATTGTAGAGAGTTCAACTTCAACTCACCAGACACAGCTTGTTCTCCTTGTCCAAATCTTCCATTGGAGGAGAGAAGGAGTGTGGAATAGTCCACGTGGGAGGGTCTTTATTCCCACCAGGAATTACTTCGGGCCTTCCCAGCTTGTCTGAGGAGCAGATGTTGATAAACACCTTCTGGCCCTCTATCATTTTGGAGGCCTCTATAGGTGGCTGATTATCATTTCCTACTTCTGACGCAAGACTGGGCCAGATTCGCGACTTGAGGACGCAGAACGGTGTTGGATTAATGAACTCAACGTCGACACCCCGCTCCATCTCGGCCATCTTGATCTCTTCCTCATATCTTCGGAAAACAAAAGACAGTTTAAGACTGAGCATTCGCAAGAAGATTTGTTGTCAGTAGAAGGCATCAAAGAATCACAAAATAGTTCTCCATTGGTGATTTTATAGAAAAAGAGGACCACGACCGACAAGCATTATAGCAAATAAAAGAAAACTGTGTAAAATGTCGGTTTAAAACTTACCATATTAGTATGCATGAGCACACGAAGCCAAATACACCATCCCATGAAATTCAGAAAGACATACCCGAATATATTAAACAAAACATGTCCGCCTTAAATGAGGTCCCTGAGCGTTCTCATTGGACAAAATAAATTCTGACGCTTGATTACTTAGCAAAGTACCAAGGTAATGTATCATAGCGACTTTAACGAGTACTTCAGAAAGGCTGTTTAAATAAGTAATAGAAAACGCCGAGCGGTGAAATGCTAGGTGAGTAAGCAGAGAGTAATAATTTAGAAGTAAGATACCAAAACACTTCGGGTGTAATTGCGCAAACCTCACTACAAACCTGCGCTTATTTTCAGGATCGTTGAGCTCCTCAGCATATTCAGCAAATAATTTACAAAACTTTGGATCCTTAAAAGCCTTTCCTAATCTGTTTAATTCATCATTTGTCAGCTTCAAATCCCTGAGAGACTTCTCCATTAACGCTACAGTGCTCAAGTGTAGCGCGTCAACTGAACCATTCACCTTCAAGGACTAATTATTTATGAGAACAGAAGTAGAAATTTGTGGAATATTATTGATTAAATGCAAGAAATTACCTAGTCACAGAAGTAAAACATCGTCAAATTATTTATCGGCTTCAAGCTGAGCGATTGCTGACAAGGCCTGTGAAGCAAGCAAATAGAAAGCCCGAGTAGTAGGCTTTAAAATTATGATGTGCAACAGTAGACCACACTTAGAAATGGGGATGTTGGCTGCGATTTTGGTGGTAAGCTTGATTTCGAGATTGGCCGCGCGGAAATTTGGGCCTCCGCAATTCTACTACTGATCAGGGCATGTCATCGGGGCCTTGCCAGCGGCCCTGGGCCTCCTGCAGGTTATTTAGGTGATTGCCAGGCAGATTAGCCCATGATCGCAAAAAGAACTACTTGTTGTCTTAGCCGCTGTACCTTCGTCAAGCGGTCTGGCCTCGGGCCATTCCAGCAGCCCTATCTCTACGTTGAATATACACATTCTGCTAGAGAACAGTCTTCTTTCGTCTTCAGAGAAATCCTAGAGATCTACGAGCAGTTTGTTCTGCTGTAGTAATAAGGCTTTATATTACAAAATAAGAGTACATGCTGCAAATGGGGGAATCTATGAGGACTCAAAACGGGGGAGCTAAAAATAGTATCTTGCCTTAGAAACTTTTCTAATCCCATAAATTGCACAAGTACTACTAATGAATAAATCCAGCGCTACCAGCCGTGGTAAATCTGGACAAGTTCTTTTCGAAGCTGTCTACGGGATGTTTTCGAATATGTCAGTCAAGTAAACATGAAATGCTTGTTTCATTTCTCCAGTATCTCAAAGGAACTCGACACATTATATCTAGGCGGCGATGCAGTACCAGAAAATTAGGAAGGAAAGCAAATGCGAGCCAAAAGCACTTTAAAACACCGCACATCATAAATAAACTCTACAAACAGACTAGCGTACTCACGACTTGCACTGGGCATGTGAGAGAGTCCGCATCTTTTTGTAAAACCTACGTTGTTTTAATAGGGCTTTTCAGAGAGAAGGCGGAGAGACAAGTAAAACCTCGTGACTGAGGTGGCAACTTCCTGCAACCTCGAGAGCGTTTCCGTATTTACACCCCAAACTGTATGCTTGCTTCCCCATTTACTTATCCTAATAACCACGTCAAAGCCAAACCAACCGGGGTGTTTTTAGAGCATGAAAATTGGAGAAGAGAGAATTTACGAACCTTGTTCTGCATTTTTGTCTGAGCTTAATGTCAACCTACCTGTTTACAAGTATGACCAAAACAATCTTATAGCCATTATTATTTTTTAAGGTTTGTCTAGTGGTCTAGACTGTTTTTTAAATACTTAGCTTGTTCAAGAAATTTGACTAGTGAATCATATTATGATACAAAGTTAGGACCATCTTCTGCTTATATCTCTGTGCCCTGTCAAGGCAAACTTCGGGGTAGTTGAGGTTTTGACAAGCAGCCTAAATACTCCAGAATAAGGTTTTGTAAAAAGTTAAAGCTTTATTTAAAAATTATTTAAAGATATTGGAGGCTTTTACATTCCATTTTTTGTTTAAGCGTTCCTTGCAGGCAGCGGGCCGCTTTTTCGAAACACCTCACGTTCTGAATATGCCTAGGGGTAAGCCAGCAGGCATCCATACTGCTCGTAAGCTTAGGACGCATCGTCGAACACAACGATGGGCTGATAAACAATACAAGAAAGCTCATCTTGGTACCCGGTGGAAAGCCAATCCCTTCGGTGGTGCTTCACACGCCAAAGGAATTGTCGTTGATAAGGTAACATCATTTTAATTTCTCTACTTTTTCCTAGATTGGTGTGGAGGCTAAACAGCCTAACTCTGCCATTAGGAAGTGCGTTCGCGTCCAGCTTTTGAAGAATGGCAAGAAAATAACAGCCTTTGTTCCGAATGACGGTTGCCTGGGTTTTATCGATGAAAATGACGAGGTGCTCGTTGCCGGTTTCGGTCGTAAGGGTCATGCCGTTGGTGACATTCCTGGCGTCCGCTTTAAGGTTGTTAAAGTTGCTAACGTCTCCCTCTTGGCTTTGTACAAGCATAAGAAAGAGAAGCCAAGGTCTTAAGTGTATGGAGTTACCCCTTAATACATTGTGGTCCCATTGCTTCTTGTTTGTTGACTTGTCTGTTTGGTGTGGAACTGCAAGATCCTATATTAGCGCTTACGTCCCCCTAATTCTGGCTGGGTGTTAGGCTGTGCATGCTAAAACTTGGACTCTTCAGGCCTCCATCCTTGTTCCTATGGTGGTTGGTGTCGGCTTATAGAATCATCCATCAGTTATCGTTGCGCGAATTGTTTACCCAGTTCAATTTAAAACAGATTTTACAGCACATCTTTTTATCCTTGTATAAAAAACCATTACAATGCGTAGCTTAGCATGACATCCTGCTTTGCGAATTCCAGCAACATCGGGTCGTCGAAGTACTTGTTAATGCTTACATCTTCATTGAGACCCTAAGAAGGAAGAGGGTTCGTTGATTCATCGAAGCCACGGTCATTAAAAATTGGACGGATCCGAAATGAAGGATGAGGGACCCGGCTACTCACCTTCCTTCGTCTCGTCTTGATCATAAACTCGCGAGCAAGGTGGGTGGCCGGTTGCGCCACCAGGGGCTGAATTTGGATGGTTCGGTCCAGCGGGTCTCCAGGCACCATTTGCCAGTGATTGAAGACAGACATGCAAAAGGCTTGGCCCTGCGAGTGTGTCCGCAGATCTGTCTCAAATCCGAAGGAGTCAATCACCGGTAGGAAGGCTTTGATGATATAGAGCGGTGAACCGGAGATTGGAGCATCGTGAGTCACATGACCTCTGAATGTAAAAATTTAGCTGATAATGTAGAGGAAGTGTTAAGGTAATGGTTAATGAGGGCGGGGACACCCGTCCTACCGTCGAAGATTGAGGACGTTGTAAACGGCGGACACACAGTCGGCAGGCGCTTGCACTTCAACGTAGTAATAGGGCTCCATGAGTCGTGGCGTGGCCATCATAAAGGCAGAGTAGGCAACTCGACGCGCTGTCGGAATGATTTGGCCTGAGCCACGTTGATGTGCTTCACCCGAAATTAGCGCATCCAAAATCTTAAATTTCACATTTCGGATCGGTTCGTCGCAAAGTGGACCTTCCCGTGTACCCCATTGGAAACCCTATGTTATAATGGAAAAGTGCCGCTTAGGTATAGTGGGGAACAGCGCTCTTGCTTTGATTGACGTCTGGAGGAAAGAACAAACCTGTACAATGTAGTCCCTCACTGAACCCAAAAGCCCCTTGTCCACTTCTGACGGAAGAGTATCGTCCACTAGGATGTTTGGACCTGTTGAGTCTGGGCCGAAAGCCCAAATGGATCTAAAAACACACCACGCATCAAATGAACAAACAATACCACCCTCAATGCGCTACACTGCACGCATAAACAGGGCTTCAAAGTGCAACTAGGCTCACTGATACTCCTGAATAAGAATGAGTAGTGCGGACGATAAAGGCTCACCTTGCAGCGAGAAGGTCCCACTCATACTTCTTGAGGAAGAATTCCCCAAGTTGCTTTTTAGGCCAGTCGATCCGAACCACCTTATTTTCAATATCCTCCGCCAGACCCTTGTCAAGTGGTTCGGCTATCATGGTGATCTTGTTCCTAGTCATGAAGCACGTTCATGGTTAACATGAGTATGCCTGATATAGAATGAGGGCATAAGTCATTTGAAGGTGTTATGCGAGCTAGGGAATTGAGATTTTTGACGCCATAGTTAAAACAATGGAAAAAAGTCCCTAAGCAAAGATCATAACTTCAGGATACACCATCGGAATGCATGACTCAGTGCTTTGATCCACACCTTGGGAATAACAACTGTTAGATCCTGAATTGAAGATAGTCAATTGGCATGATTAGCAATTTTCAGGGAAAAGGACTTACTTCTTGTTCGGTGACTCTGAAAAGCACTTCAAGGATGAGGTCTCAACGACGGTTTCACAGAACGCCACGACAGGATCGGCGACTTTGACCTCTGAAAAAAAGACAGAATTTGTGGAATCAGGAAAGGTTCCCCTTTTCCACATTCACAATAAGCGGCACAACCATTACAAAATAGCTTGAATGCTTTGGTAGTTTAGGTGTTCCGGTAAAGACGTGTCAAAAGTGGAGCCGCAAACAAACCGTTTCAACTTACCGATATCAGAATAGAGCTTGCGTAGATCATGCATTACGCAGTCAAGGTAGAGTTCGCCTGTTCCTCGAATAATCCGTTCACCTGACTCCTCCACCTTGGTCATGAGCAGAGGGTAACTCTTGTTCACCTATGAAAAAATAACTTTACTTTATCCACACACATGGAAAGAAGTTAATCACCTAGCTCCTCCCACAAAATTCACCTTTCTCAGACCATCGAGCATTTTGGGAAGTTCTGAGGGATTGGCCGGTTCAACAGAAATCTTGACGATCGAGATAGTATTGAAGGTAAGTGGATGAAAGATAAAAGCCTCACTGTCTGAATGGGCAGATGTGATTGTTGACGTCTTGACAATAGCTTGATCTACACCCTCTATCAACACCCAGTTGCCTGCAGGCACACGATTCACCTCAAGACGATATCTGCAACAGACCCCAAGAACCCACACTTAGACGTCAATAAAACCACCAAAGGAAACCGAATGTTATACACCTACCGCCCGCAAAAGATCCAGAGACGCCCAGCAACAGCAGGACGAGAATCCTCCTCATCGTTGAGAGAGTATGCCTCCCCAAGCACCCGCACATCCTGTCCAGCCTCCAGTCGACCGGAGAGAACGCGCCCAAAAGCATGGAAGGAAACAGCGTCCTCGTCGGGGTATAGCTTAGTAGTATGCACCATGAGATGTGGTGACTCTGCACGGCACGCGATCATATCGCGCGCGATAGCAGAGTCCAGAGGACCCGAGTAAGTGTGACTAATCTTCACTCTGGCGCTTGCCACCGGACTGGGCACGTGCTTCACACACATGGAAACGAAACCGGAGAAATCGCCAAAGAATCGACTAAAAATGATTCGCAACAAAGGACGGACGTTGAGTTTAAATTCGGACTTAGAAAGGTGAATGCCGAGTTCACTGCAGAGCCTAGGCAAGCAAGTATCCACGTCGCCGGCGGTCTGTGCGAATATTTTGTAGATCGGCTCGAGAATGAACTCCACGAAGGAGCGAAGGGAGGATGCAGTCGGAGGCTTCGATTTAAAGGTTCTCCTGTAGCCAAAACACCTTGGTAGTAAGCGTTGCATTCATGTACCACGTAAACTAAAAAACTCACGTCTCTGAACTGAAGTACTGATCGCCCCATAGACGCTTGGCAAAACTCTTATAGTCGATGGAATCTGCAAAGGTGTCAGTATAGATCTTTGCAAAAGACTCCAATGTAAAGCAGAATCGATAGTAGGAGCTCGCGAAACATACGTTGCCCAGCAGTGGACTAACTATATGCTGGGGTTCGAGGGAAACACCTGAAAGAGAAGTACAGCTAGCATATTCGTGTTATTGAGGGAATAAAACAAGAGAACCCGGAGACGCATACCGGCTCCTTCTGAGAAAGTCGAAATCAAGGAGTTAACCTCGTCGATAATGTTCTTAATCTTATAGTAAGCGTCATTTGGTGGTAGCTTAAGCTCGAGAACAAGTCGGTCAATCTTGTTGAGGCACAGAAGAATAGGAAGGCGCTCCTGAAGTGCGTGTTTGATTAGACGTTCTGTGTTCATCAGAACACCTTCACTGACGTCCACAAATATGCAAACGGCATCACATAGGCGGAAGGCCGCTGTCACCTCATCAGAGAAGTTCACGTGGCCTGCAGGGAAGAATACCACGTCATAAACGACCACAGTATTGCGCTTTTCAAAACTCAAAGGAAACCACATTACGCCACATTACTAGCTCACAAAAAGACAAAAGTTCTCGGCAAATAAAATTATCTAAGCTGCAAAATACAATAGCGAAAAAACTAGAAATATTTACATTAGCTCTACTAGATTCAAATGGTCAAAAAATGTGTTAGCAAGAAAAATCACATAAGTGCAACATACCAGGGGTGTCGAAAATGTTAAGAAGATATGACTTATTCTTCAGGTCCGACAGAACCAGCGTCATCGGAGTAGACTTAACACTCAAACCTCTCTCGACTTCAAGTTTTAGGTAGTCAGTATAGCGCAACTAGAAAGAAGGAGTATAGGTTACTCGAAACAACGGATTTAAAAAGTATTAAACTAAAACTCACATCCTTGTCTTCCTTCGCTCTAATATCGGGATGTGTTTGCTCTATAAGGCAATCGACGAACGAAGTCTAAAGAAAAAGCATGTAAGAGAAGCATAGTTAATACTTTTCCATGATGCAGATGTCCGCAAAACGCAACACTGCGAATGAGTTCAGGACAATCCATCAGATCAGCCAAGAACTCCGGATCGTATGTGGTCTCGGGTAGGGAGTATTCAGAGTAGGCAAAATTCTTCCTCTTAATAGGCTCAATTAGAGGCTGAGTCAAGGGCTGAGCATCCTCTTCTTGAACCAATGTTTCAACATCAGGTCCGTAGACCTCCATTGCGCTCGGGTAGTACTTCTTATCATCATGCAAAACTACCTAAAGTTAGCATAAAGCACGAGTTATTTTGTTAATGAAGAGTCAGGGGCTGTCCATGAAAAACACCTTACTGAGAAGGCCTCATCAGTTTTCTCAAGGAGTTGCATAGCATGACTGTGATCTTCCTTTTCTTCTGGTTCTTCTTCAGCGACACTATCAGCATCCCCCTCCACCTCCTCATCCGACAGGATATTTGGACCTATATAATTCCCGAATTCGTCGTACAAGTCGGCATCCATTCTCCACAAAGGCTACTGGGAGGCTCTCAACCAAAACCATTAACAAGGTCAATGTCAGTGAACGCGTACGCTTTGAAAACAGTAGGTTATTCACAAAAAATAGGCGTAGATAAATTTTAAAGTTTTACAATGTTCAGTCAGGGAGGCAATATTTAAGTAAATTGCTTTTTAAGAATTTGTGGAGCCCAATGCGAAAAAAGGAGTAAAAAGACGCAAATTTTTAACAAGCCCAATCACACAAACAAAGACCATAGGGTGCCTGAATCACCTTATTTTGCTACATGCTACAGGTGTACTACTTAGATCAGCTGGCATTATCAAATCATCAGGTGCATTCGACAGTAAAGCATTTCAGATTGAATACCTTATAGAATATGTATTATAATACAAGTATACTGCATGCACTTTAATTAGTATTAGGCTTGTTCTTGAGTTCACTTGTTTGCATTTTCAGATGGCCTTGCTGATTTTTAACTATGGATATGGTAACGCGTTCGTGGTGATTTACCATTGTTGAGTTTAGGATGAAATTCCTGAGTTAGAGCATTACCCTGGTGTCTTTGGAAGCAACCGTTCAACTGGTAGACCTGACATTAATAATATTGCCAATCATGTTGAGAAAGCCTCTGAAACTGAGGTTTGGCTGCGTGTTAATTCAATCCCGTAGTTAAATGAGGACACGCGAATTGCATTTAGGAAGGCTTTACAAAACAAAAGTAACTCTTGGAAGTCTTGCCTGTCCCCGGATTCCGTAGGCTCATCTGAAGTGCGAAAATCGAACTTGGAAGATAAAGACATACCAAGTAAAATATCACATTAGTTGTTATAAAAATGGCAGTTGCAACACTACTCATTGCGGTTATGCAACTTACCAGGGTTCTCTGTTTGCTTTACATTTATTGGTATCATACATCTTAGATAAATTTGCGCCAATGCACTCATATTTTACCACTCTCATCTGTCTTTTCTTGTTGTTCAATGCACAACTTCTGATAACTGATTTATTCTCCAACGGCTTGGCTTTATTGGTTAGGGGAGTTTTAAGTTTGTGTCTCTAGTAATAGTTTTTTAGACTGAGCTAAAACCTGGGGAGCTTTTTTATCCTTTTGCAATTATAAATAATTTCACTGCTTATTTTGTATTGCCTCTTGACAGAAAGTTTACCCATTTTCTTTAATACCTTACATATTTTTGTGTACTTTATTTGCTTTATATGCCTATTTTAAAACATTTTTGCTCTTTATTAGACTGGATCACAGATGATTTGTTGGCCAAAATTCAATCAAACCCTAGCGTTAGTGCGTGGTTGCAAAACCCTCGGAAAGTTTCCTTCCTCAATGAACTTCAAAAAAACCCTAACAAACTGTTCAACCAGAAGAATACCAAGGAAGATGCATGTGCTATTCAGAAAATAGCAGAAATCTTAGGTGATTCAACATGACTTGAATGCTGTGCCTTTTGCCTTATTCTTAGCCTTTTAGAGCTATAATTTGTTTAGGCAGTTAACAACTAGGATAATTTTCCGATTACTATATCTACTTATGATTACTTTCATTTCGACAGTTTTATTTCAAAAGCAACATTGAGCTTCCTATTAGTTCCTAGGATGATTTAATGTTTGCGAATCGTCATCAAAAACGTTGTTTGTTCTTTATGCTCCTACATTCTAAGGGCATAGAAGGATTGCATTTTCGTCTGCTGACTAGATGTCCCATATTTGTTTCCTACTTTTGTTTGTGTGATTATCCTGAACCAAATAGATCTGGCATTCCTGTTAATAAATTGATGCGGTTGGTCTTGTGTAACCAGGTGAACACTTTGAGGATTTGGCTATTCAGGGGGAAAAGGAGGTGAAGATGAAGCCACCAGTCCAATCGCATAAACCTTTGATCGAAGAAGTTTTGAGTCTTGAGGAGAAAGAACTTCAGACCGCCGTAGACAGGATGCTGGCAAATGAGGAAATCAGGTGTGCTCTACAAGATGAGCACGTCCGCGAGATTATTGAAACTCTTCGGTGCAATCCGGAAAAGGGACAAATGTAAGTGTCATAGACGATACACTGCGAGATCAGAAGTTCCCAGATTTTCGCCTCTAGATGACTGAATGTCTTTTTGCCACAATTTTTTGGACTGAACTATCTGTATGGTGCAATATTTGAGCACAGTGGCTCACAATGAATAAAAACTACTAAGATATTTTAATTTGATACGATGAATCTGTAGTGTCATCAGTGTTTTGGTACAGAATATAACGCACTGAAAAAAGTGTCCCTTGTACCTGATATTGTGCGACAGGATAGGTATCCAAGTATCCTTACATTTACAGTATGTATACCTTTATCACCTAGGTTGGCAAGACAAGCCCCTTCAAGCGTGAAAGAGAAGCTCAACCTTCTTATACAAAATGGTATTCTTGCTGTTGAGTAGATCCTCTGGTTCTTCGACCTCAATCTGTATTCCACATCGTTTAATAGTCATCTAGTTATATCATAAGTCTACCTACTTCTCTGTAAATTCTCTTCTATTTCACCACTGTGATCTAATTACTTCAAAATGTGCCACTGGAGCCTGTGTCATCAAGTGATCTTATAAGTTTCCTTAATGGGATGCTGGCGCCAATGATCTTATGTCCTTATTACCCAAAGTAATGGGAGATGAGATGACCTGACTACAAGGATGTGTTTGTTCACGAGCACAAATGCGTTGGGGGGGGGGGGGGGCATAATGTACAGAACCAAATGGAGAGGAGTTAGAGGTTGAGTTGCTCAAGTAGAAGGATGAAAGTCAAAGCAATCACCCATATAGGCCATCGCACTTTCAATGCTGAGCAGACTAGGTTGTAATGGATGTCGGGACCCTCTGAAATGCAAAAAATTTTAGTGCTTTGTCAGCTACATCAACGACAGCAAATCCAATTCTCCAAGCAATTTAGAATAACGTAAATCTCCAAGTCTGTAACGTTATTTACTGGAATAAGTTAGATTCATAAGTTCTCTTATCCTCACTCAAGGTTTTGAATAAATCTTGCACTTCATTCCATGTTTTTGTAATAGTTAGTTCGCAATTCTGTGTAACACTGGCAAGACATCCATTCAAGGCACGACTGGATATCAATTACATAGATCTACTATCTACGCCTAGCTAAGCTGTGGTATTGTTTTCTGGTTTTTCGACATAAAAATCAGTAACTTTTTAATTATCGGAATTGAATTCACAAGAGAAAAAAAGTGGTAAACCTACCCCATGATGCTCCCGGTACACACTGATCCCTGGGGATCATCTGAAATTGCACAATCGGAGAGGACATTTTCCCTACACCGCCCCGACTATACGCATACACCCGCAGGTTGTAGCGTTTATTAATGTCCAAATTCTGTACATAGCCGTACGTTCTCAACCTCACGTCCACGTCTGTGTGCGCCTCCTTGTAGTTTGAGCCCACCAGCCAGTAGCGAATGCGATAGCCCAAAACCGCCTCCTCATTCAGGGTGGTTTGTACGCCCACCCAACTCACTCGCACCGTCCGTGGGTAGTGCGTGCTATTCAGTTGAATCATGGTGGGGAAACTCTGCGGCCAAAGTTTGTAAGTCGTCTGCTCGGCAAATCCCGACGGCGGCCCATCGCCTGCTGTGTTGAAGGCCTAGAGTCCACCCACTCCAAGGCATTACATCTTGTGAACACTAAACAATAACATTGAAACTGCAAGTCACCTGAACCGCAACACAGTAGTAGATATCCTGCTCTAGACCGATAATAAAGCCAGAAGTCAGGTCGGCGCCGTAGAGGGTGCGCCGCTGACCCTGCTCAAAGCGCTCGATGTCGGATTCGATGCCGAGGCATTCCAGATTGCGGCGCCAGTAGATAAGTCGGTAACCGAGGAGGGGACCCTCTTCGCCACTTAGCAAAGGGGGATCCCAAGTGATGAGAAGGGCGCTACCATTGTACTGGTTTGCCTGTTGATTGCGTGGGGCAGTAACCGGGAGACGAGCAGCTGACATTATCACCACTGGATCGGTGATTGGCCCGGAGCCCTGCAATCAAACAAACTGACTTGTGCCTAGAAAAGCAAACACATTCAGTATTCTATTTGCTGAGATTAGTTCAAATTGTGTCAAATGGTAAATGAAGGTAAAAAGCGCTCTTGGCACCAATTTTTACATGACTTTTCCATTATCTGCACCATTTTAAAAGGACACGGTAGCTAGGCGCCTAGTAATCGTGCCTGGTGTGACCTCCTTGATTATCAAAGGCCTGATATGCGTTGCGATATTTTAAAACGGTAAAAGAAAGTAACTAATCCGCAGCGAAAGTAAGATTTTTTTACGATTAAGTAATTGAATTCATAAGCTTTTCCAGTCTCCTGCCATTCGGTCACCACGCCGGTGGCATGGTGTCCATTTCACGCTGCCAATCCAGTTAGCCGCCCAGCGCTCCTGTGTGCCGGCAGTAAAACCAACTTTTAACTGAGATATCTCATAGCATAAATCATTCCTTTGAAAAACATCACCCTCGACTTCGTTTGATGAATGGTGCGGGTCGTTGAATCCGCAAAGACCTGCGATGGAAGAGCTAATACGACTTCGCGCTATGGTGTTTGCAAGTCGAGTACCTGATTGTTGACAGCCTGGATGGTGACCTCGTAGGGCTTATAGTAGCGCAGAACGGGCAGGCTGACGGTGTACTGCACCCACGTGGTATCTGGCACCGATGAAGGCTCATAGACGAGGGCCGTAGTGTACTCGGTGTCCTCCCAGGCCCTCCATCGAAGCACGTAATGAAAGCCCTCTCCGTTCTGTTCTACGTACGTCAGCGGCTCCCATTTCACCACCAGTGTGCCCTGAAGTGAAGTGAATTGAGTCGGGACCAAGTTAATTCGCATTGAGCATGGTACATCGTGGCTATATACTTTCTTTCGCCATAAAGCAATGGAAGGCTAGCACAGTCAATTAGGAAATACTTGAGCAGTGATAAAATATCATCCCATGATCCTCGGGTTTGTTTCACAGGTGGGTAATCAACACTCGATACACGGGGGAGCACTGCAGCCGAAGCTCACTAGGAAAAATCCTTGTAACGGCACGATGCTTTTTTTGCTTTTAAATATGGTCATTCCACCTATTCTCGATCTTCCACGAATCGGCCTTCACTCTATCAGCCACGTATATTACTGATATTCTAGCTACTTCCATACTCATATCTGTCACAATTTCTCTGGGGAGGGTTCAAATCCTAGAATAGTGTAGACTAAACTGAATTACTGATGTTCCAACACTCTAGACTTCACCTCTTTGCCACCACCTCCAGTCACATTCCGGACCATTTTTGTCGGTGCCTTCGGCAGAGTGACGATCCCACGCGATGGCCTCGAAGGCTCCCCAACACCCAACGCGTTCACCGCTCGGACGCGCAGCTGATAGGGTATGTTCGAGTAGAGATTTCCTATTGTAGTTGTTCTGCGTTTGGTATTCTGACCTTTGCAGTGATTAAAAGCATGAAACTCAACAATTTACTCAATCAACAATCGATAACTATGGTCATTTTTCATTGTTTTGAGGCATAGCTTATTTGTACCTACCTTAGTTTCGTTCACAAAATGATTAAATGGGTTTCGTGACAACCGTCCCGCATTTTACTATAAAAGACATTAGTTGGGACCTCCATTAGCATAGCAGAAATTTTAACCTTGTTTCAATATTTGGAGGATGAAATTTTGATGAGATGTCTGTTTTCGTAAAAAGTCTTTAAATATCCTGCATTCGAATGAAACTTTTTATTCCACATTATTGCAAAGCGATCTGTAATTCGGAGTACTTCAGTCGCAGTTGAGGCAAACCTACCGATCACGATGTCGGCAGACTGGTTGAGACGCGACACCACTACGGACCACGGCTCATCAGCCACTTTAGCCTCAATTATGAAGTATTGGATAGGGTGAAAGTGGTCCGCTCCAACGGTCCAATTCACCATAACCAATTCACTGTCTGGAATTGTTGCTGCCTCCACACCTTTAATGTTAAATAGATTGAGACATAAATAATTTCCCTCCCGCTAAGGATTTAGGAAGCAGATTCATTAAAAATGAATAGAAAGTCCAAAAAACCATCAAATATAGGTTGTACAAACAGCGTGCTTGTCAAGTCGCTGGAAAAAGATACTTCTTTGGTCAAATGGACTCTTTAAACTCACATCACTTGGCTACGAAATCAAACTAATAGGACCATTTCCTTCTTGCTCACCCGCACAGGGACCAGGCGGACCAGCAACGAGGATATAGGCAGTAGAGCGGTTTCGGGAGAGCGGCGTCTGCGCCTCGCAAGTGTACCGACCAGCATCGTAGAGTTGGATATTCACTATGTGCAAAAAGCCGAAGTTGCGATCATAAGACCGCAAAAATTTCGTCGTCTCGTAGCGCCGTGCGTCCACATCCAGTCGATCAAACTTTATTTCCACATCCTGATACATTCACACAAAATAATAGAATATGCAGAAACTGACCCAATTTAAATTATTCCTAATCCATCATTCATAGACTTTCAGTTACCGATCCATCTTATTTAAATAACATGGGCACACTTGGCTCCACAAGAACTTTTTCCACAAATAGCCTTTACTGCCTGTTTTCATATCACTTGTACTTTTCAATAGGAAGATAGATTAAACTTCTAATTTTAATGGGAGAACTCAAAAAATCTACTTGCCAAAAAAGAAATCGAGCGTTTAAAACGAGGGGTGTGGGGAGCTAAGTCAGGTTTACCTCGTAGAACCAGGCATAGTTGACATCGAGGAATGAGCTGACAGTCGCCTTGCAAGGCACAATGACTGTCGAGTTGACATCTACAATAGTGTTTTGTGGTTTTAAAGTGAGAACCAGTGGATCAATCACTGTGAGATGAGCTGAAGTGCTAGCCATGCCGAATTGGTTCTGCGCCCGGCACTCGTACAGACCCGCCTGCATTCTCGTCAACTGCGCCACCAACAGATTTCCACTGGGCAATGTGCAATATGTTACCGGGCACTACAAAGCATTTTTCATGTCAACTCTACTGGCTTCAGGTGGGAGAAAATGGATGAAATTAAACTCACAGTAGGTTCGCCGGTGGTCTGATCCACGATGCTGGCGATAGGAGCAAGGGTTGTCCCCTGGAAAAACCAGGTGATAGTGGGGTCAGGGGCAGCCTCAGGCTGACAGGTCATGACAGCATTGTAGCCCACCATGCCTAGCACCGGTACCATTGGATGTTTTTGAAAGTTAGGTGCAAAAGCGAGCACTCGCAGCTCACCAGAAGAGGACTCACTACCCAGACTGTTCACTGCTAGGCAGTCGAACATCGCTGAATCGGCGGTAACCACCTAGAAAGAGAGGGGAGAGGGTAAGAGGTCGTGATCTGAATGCAAAGACCTACATTGGAGATGACTAGAGAAGCGGGTTCCTTGGTGCCGTCTGTAACAACATAGCGGGTTGTGTCGAGCTGACCAGAGTCAATGAGATTGCGAACGCGCACACCATTGCGATACCAGTATTGCGTGGGCTCGGGTATGCCACCGGCCTCGCAGACCATTGTAACGGTGGTGCCCACTGCCACTACCTCGTCCTTCGCCTTGTTAGTGAAGTAAGGCAGTGCTCTGATCTGCAGACTCACAGTTCGTGGATCCGCCTGGCTCCCTCTTGCATCCGTTACCTGTTGTAACAGATCATCTTATTGAATGCGATTCAGCTTAAAGAACTTGAAAAATATAAGCAAAATGTTTTGGGAACAGAACCCATTATTCCTTTACCCCATTAAATTTGTGTTAGTGTTTTTCTAACCATTGCCCTCATTTTCCAATTGAACACAATATCCCTCAGACTTAAAAGGAGGGGGGCGGCAATTTTCGCTCTTAAAATTTATAGGTCGGTAAAATAATACATTGCACATGTTTAACTTTCTCACTTTTGATGAAACTATTCTTCTCATAAAAATCGCATAATTTTTGGCTGCTCATGGATTTGAAGTGTACCGAATTTCATTTGCTTTGAACAGCAAGTACTCTAAAAAACCTCTTGGCGTCAGTCTTTTGGCGTGCTGGTTCCGCCATGCCCTGCTACTCGAGCGGCATCTTTGTTAATTGACCTCCAACTTACTCCGTCACTCTTATGATGTCCTATCGTTAATAACGAGCATGGGTAACTGTTGTGGAGGCTAGTTCCGATGCCTAGACTTGTCTTCTGGACTCGCTTTACGGCGGACGAAACTTAGCCTCTCCAGCCGTACATAAGCAAGGCTATTACCAAAATGTTTGGTCGATTTTCTCTTCAAGCATAAGATCCAACTAGATCTCAATCTCTGCCTTCCGATTTTCCTGTCACTTCTGGCAATACTGAGAACGCCGCAATTGAGAATTGGAGCCCATACTTATTGAGCGGAAGTAGTAAAAATCTCGATCACAAATTTTTCAAATTTCGTCTGTTTGGTTAAAATGAGTCTCGTTGCGAATTGTATCAAGTAAAGGCATTATCATTAAGACCGTCTTTTTTCGACTATTTTTAAATCATCGGGAAAATTTTTGTGCATGATCAGTATGCTTTCTTTTAATATTCTGCAGTTTTGAGGTCAATAATTTGCACGAATATTAATGTGCCATTGTGGCTCTACAATGATAAGAAGAAGTGTTTTCATGCCACTCAATTTTACAGATTACTTACGCTGCATTCGTAAACACCCTGATCTTCAGGTTGCACTTGCGGAATATCAATGACACGGTTGAGCTCTCTCAATCTATTTACAGGAATTGGGACGCCGTCCAGCTACAAGGAAAAAAAGAAGTGACTAGTTTTGTCTGATTTAAACCACTATAATATAGGCAAAAATAGGGATCATACTCTGCGCCAGGTGTAATGTAGTGGTCCAGACTGCACACTGCCACCGGCGAAGCATTCAATCCGGACGGGGTGACCACGAATGGGATCGCTAGGCCAAATGGCCGGGAAACTGTCGTAGATGCGGGGCTCTTGTGTCCTGTAATTGCTCTCCATCACTTCCAAAGGCATATCTGGTGATTTTGGTGAGTCACTCAACCGAGAGCCCAGTTGATACATCGTAATCATGCACACATATACTCCCGAATCCTACAACACCCAGAATATCTCCTTATGGCTAGGTAATGTGTGTATTTACTAGAGCTTTTGGGACTTAGGAATTGGTATACCTGCGTTGTGGCCTCAGAAAAACCGATGAGTGCCTGTGCTTGCGAGACAAAGACTCCCGGTCGAGCCAACAGTACTAGTGGTTCGAGAACCGGTCCTTTTCGCATGTAGAACGAGTATATTAAACCTGTAAGTTTTAATAATATTGCTGTCCCTTTTTTTATTCATATGAAGCTAATGAGGTAAGAAAGTAGTACTGCATCCCATTTTGTCTTTAATACTAAAGCAAAAAATCTTACTATCTCTTGGAGAATGAGCAGGAGGATCACAAGGAATGGTAACGCTTTGATAAGCTGCCGCCAATCTGGTTCTACGAGGGTGTTTTGGGAAGGTTTCCAATTGACCAAAGATTATTTTTGCTGTTCGACTTGAAATGCTTCCAAATCGATTATATGCTTCACATTGGTAATATTCGGAATCTAGTGTTGATATAGGGGAGTGTATCACCATGTTTCCTCCACTTATGGCTATGCGACCATCTGTCGAATTCATGGGATCGACAAGAGTCCTTCTGACGGCTACACTGGAACCGCCGGTTATCAAGCCAAGCTTGTACCACCTATAACTCGGTGCTGGATTTCCATTGGCAAAGCATTTGAATGAGACTAAATTTTCCACATCGATCCCACTTACAAACCTGCAATTGTTTTATCAAATATTTTTTAATGTATTAAATATGTCAAACAGTTTTTAAAAGCCTTAACACTTCCACATTACCATGCATCTTCGGGTTGTGTTACAAAGCAGGGACCTCGAGAAATAGGAAGCGTATCATTTTGACCGTATTCAATCATCCGACCATTGGGACGCAAGTATTTGGCATTTATTGACGGTGCTTGACATATGTATGGACGCATCTCTGTTGATGAGCCAATGTACCATCCCCATGCAGTTCCATTTGTACCATAAACAAGTTTATCCAGAGATCTTGGATATGTTGGCATTTCCGCAATTGTTGGCGGTTTATCAAACCAGAGTGCGTAAAGACTCGGACGAATTGATTGCTTATCCGGAGGCCAGCCTGACCATATAAATTCGCCAAATGGAGATTGTAACATAGTGCCCGAAGTATACCAGCGCATACTAAGAATATGCACCAAAGCAAATCAAACCTTCTATTCAGGGAGTTCGTTTCCAGCCAGATACTGACGAATTTGTGTTCTTCGAAACTATTAATCCGCAACATGTGAGCACCCCTACTCTATTTGTATAAGAAACCATTCTGCAACAAACCAAGCAGTCTGTACTTGCCGTAGAATAGGTGGCAAGAGGAAAATTTACAAAAACGTAGCAATTTGTGTCAAAACTGCTCCAACCGGTGGGGCAATCTAGAGTCGAAAGTAATGTGGGCTAAATTACCTGATCGCATTTGGGGATCTTGAGGGCAGCCTGACCATGGGTTAATTGAACTGCTTTTTATATTGGGGATTACGAAAAGTAGTAAAAGCAACATATTCAATTTAATTATGAGCTAAGTAGCACTCAACCGTATTTTCCGGTGCTTCAAATATTAGCCATTTACACTTTTTCGGTCATGATGCATTACAACAAGCTCGAGGCTGATTTGGCTAACGGTGAATAGCATGCATGCGATAATGTAGGCATTATAATTAAACGATGAGCACTAGTTAAAGCATAAAATTTACCATGCCATATTCTTGTCATTAAGTGTCTGCATAAATAGAATGTTCGCAAATTCTGTATACTTATGTTGCCATGCCCTTCATCATTAAGCAATATTTTAATTTTACACTATGTGCTGTCATTATATGGTAATCCATATATTTACCAATAATTTGGCAAGTAGGCTGGGCTTTAAAAACACAGCAATTGTAATCTTGGAAATCCCAGGGAGTTTTTAACCAATCTTTGTTTGCCAATTGCATTTATTCTGATATGAACACAACTTACGCAGTTTGCGCCCTAAAATGCCTTCTTTTGCGTTGCATTTAACTAATTTACAATAATGCTCCGTGCACTGGCGTTTCGGAGTTCGAGAATTCACGGACTCGCAAAATTTGCTTCTGAACCTAACTCATTTCCAGCTATGATTTTTCAAGGCCTTTTACTTCACCGGCTATTTTGCCCTTCTCATCGCCCTACCTTATATGTCTTTTTCGTTTATTGAATTGAATTATACCCCTCTGTATGATTTCTGTGATACGATGTTTACCGTCCCGGTAATGAAGAAGAAACATAACTTACCCTGGTTTGGCAAATGCACTTCAGGCAATACTTTGCCCCCGTTTGGCGTCATACATTCCGTTTTTAAGGGATAATGTATTAAGCTGACTTCTAAATGCAAAGAAAGCGCTTTGGGAACATAATATGCATTATACTAAAAAGTCGACTTCTAGAACCAAACATTTACCACCACTTTAAGTGAGTCGTATCAAACACTCACGGTTCCTTCTGACTCGCGAGCAGGCTCTGGGGCCCAATCTCGCAAGTGTTCTCGGCATTACTGCACCCCATTCCTAAAATTAATCAACGCCCCCCCCCCCCACGCAAGACCCACACAGCCTCAAAACATCAAATGGGATCACGCAGACACTCCTGCCGACTACAGTTTTTGATCTCCAGATAGCGTTACATTCCTGTAAAAAAATGAGGTTAACAAAGCCATGACCGCCTTGAATACTAAACCTCGATTAAAATGCATTCATAACTAAAAGTTGATTAGGCACGATCCAGCCCTAGGGACACATTGATTAAGGTATTCTTTCGGACATGTACTTAACGTTGTTTTGACCGGATCAACTTTTCTGCAGTGAGGGAAACGCTTTGAGGAAAAAACAATGCATTAGATCGCTCAAAGGTAAACCAAATGATAATTTCAAAGCCAACAACGCTTGGGTTATTGCACATGGAGTCACAACATAAATAAATGCTAAATGCCCATAATTTGATAAGGTGGGTGAAGCAATAGGTCATGATAAATGCAAATGATGATGATAATAAAGACGAAGAGATGAGATCGGTTGGATGGCGTGACCCAGTTTTGAGATCGGATTAGTAGAGCACAATGCGACCGGTCACAGTGCGACGACAGATAGGACAGACGGCGACCTGATCACCGCACCACTGGCAAGTTGCATGACCGCACATGAAAACCAAATTCCGCGACCGATCCAAACAGATGGGACAGCGAGTCTAAAGAGATCCAACACAGTAAGTGTAGGGTGCTACTTTCAGCATCTAGCATGAATTCGCTCAAAAACATTACTGCTCTAACACTGGGAGGTGGCTGATGAATTTGTGCAAATGCGACAAATTTACGAGCATCTACATCGTGTCCACGTGGCTATCTCCAAACGAAAAAAAGGCCAACACCAAACCGACTAGTGGGCGAAATCTGTTCTGGTGCCTCCTGTCATGCTAGTAAAGTGCGAATACTCAAGAAAGGTGCAGAAGCAGTATTGGAATGTGGCATGGTAGATCTACAGAGCATGAGGAGGATTAGAAAGTTCCCAACCTTCCTCAATTGATCACATCATTCAAATGGTCTTTGGATGTGTTTACTAGAGGATACCATTCAACCGACAGTTATGCATTTGCCAAACCATTCCACCTAGTCAGTTTGGTCAGTGGAAGATACGATATGCAAATCCCCTCCGAATCAATTGGATTCACCGCTAATATTAAAAATGACAACTCCTACTGCCATTCCTATCAATGATAAAATTATTAGTGGGGAGGTGAATTAGGTGAGAGCCCTAGGGACAACTATCTAAATAATCTGGGAGGTTGGTGTCGTATTTTCTATTGCAGATCTATTATCTCCCAACCTCCCATATCACTATAACCACTGTTGATAGACATTGCTGTCGTAACTCGGACGCTTTTTAAAAATATAATCCGTGAGATCAACTACCATTTTCCTATTGAAAAGTGAGGGAATCCGCGATGTGCTCTACCTGTTCGCGCATGGCCTGCAGCTCGTGTTGTAGGCGCTTGAGTTCACGGGATGACGACTGACCACTCGAGATGATCGAGCCTGAGGGACGCATATTGTTCGGTCGTGCGTTTGTCCCACCCGCCTGTGTGTACCGAGGCAGTGTCTGAGAAATCGTCAAAGCACTTAACCAATCCCAGACTAGTTCTCTGTTACACACAAATATATTTTCTTGCATTTTAAGTTGCAATGTTCGGCTAACTATAAAATGTCTCTTTGAAATTTGGCTTCACAAGACAGTTAGGTATCATAACTTTTCAACAACTTGCTATAATATAAAGTTACCACTTTATTGGCATAGAAATGGGTGTAAAACGATAATGCCAACCACATGTCTGTCACAATCACATCGCAGTCATTCAAAAAACCAGTAACTCATTCAGAGAGCAAAAAATGACAAAGTTCTGTCTTCTTTTCAATGTTTAAATAAAAAAGTAGGAAGATTGGTAGGAGTTTTAATGAATTACTCATAAAGTGTTATAGTTATGAATTTCAATTAAGAGTGACCATAACTTGGTGCAAACAACGGTCGAAATCAGACTTTTGATGACTAATAAAAGCAACTAATAAATTGTGAAGAAGACTACTAAGTGTTGCTTACAATAGACCCTGGAGTAGCTTCATAAGACATTTTTCATCGAGAAATGTACTTTCTTAGCCTCTGGTATCCCTCTGTCGCCGTCTTGTTATGCGTAAATCCCATCAAAACGACCGTATGCCCATATGCAATTAGTCAAAATTAGTATTCTATATTTTGAATCCCTGGATCAAGTTCGACAGAAGACAGACCCACGGATTTTTTCAAGCACCATAAAATTACTAGGTGCTTATACGTTAAATCTACATGGTATAAACGGTAGGAAAATCTGGTCTACTGTAATTAAAATTATATGGAAAAGTAAAACCTGCTGCAATTGAAGCAGATGTTGTTTACTTAAATATTGATAACATTAATGGAATACTATAAAACCAGCATTTTTTATAAGTGCGGAAAATTAGTCAAAGTACGATAGATCATTGAACTCACCCCTCGGCTAGTTGAAGTGAAAATGCTTTTAGGCACCAGACATCTTGGTGGTATTGAAGATTCCGCAACAACTAGATAAAAAAAGCTCACTTAGCCTACGAAGTATCCTGTTTAACTGTCCTCACACTACTAATGTTATTAAGTAAAACTCCATTTACGAAACGTACAACTTGATTTGTCCCAGGATTTGTTTACCTTGATTATTCTCAGAAGCCACCCAAACAGTGGAGGTCTGGGAGGCAGCAATGGGCACAAGCAAGTCTTGTGGGTTCGTTGAAATCAGAGCAGTTCGTCTCACGGTCCCGGCATCAGCGGCAGAGGAGGGGAGAGCGGGGAAGCGTTCAATGCCGGTACCAACCCCACCGACAGCCACCTCGAGACTCCACACTGCAGTGACAATCTGCCCACATTCCGGACACACACCATCGGGACAGAGTTCACCGGCGTTAAAGAGCGAGAGAAGGAGCTGGTGACGCCGCTGCTCTCCCTCTCCCTCGCCCAATAGCCACTCCGGTTTCGTCTGTTCGTCATCGTCGTCGCCCGCCACTTCCAAAGCTCGGTTGAGCCGAGCCACTCGCGGCACTAGACACTCTCGACAGACGAGGAAGTGATTGCAGGAACGTGTTAGAGTCACTGCCGGTCTAAAAGTGCACTCTCGACAGGCTGGGATCTACAAAAACCGAGGAAATCATCAGATCTACCGAGAGAAAATCATCGTGTCAAACTCAAGCTTCTCACCTCTCTATAAACTTCAACCTGTTGTCTGCAAATGATGCACTTTTTGAGGAGCTGTGTGCATTGTTGGCAGGCGACAATGTGACCACAAGGTGTAAGAAGAGCACCTCTATCCCGACTCGAGCAGACCATACACTCCCGCAACTCCTCATTGAGTTCCAACAGATTCAGTGGAAAGTCGGCTTGTTTCTGCTGTTGATGGCTGAGTTCCGCAGGCACTGCAGCACCTGCAGACCACTTTGAGGGTACTAAGAAGTTCGCAATGGACATAGAGGATCCTGTTGGGCTGACAGTTCCCGACTGAAGTACTCGCGTCTCCGACCGGTTGTCGGTGGCAAAAAAGTCATTCAGCGTGGATGTCTCGCTGTTATCGAGGAGACAATGTTGTTGATGCGTCAGGCCCCCACCTCGATCATTATCGGCACCACTGCTGCCGTCGTCATTTGCGCCATTGGGAACCTCTGCGTTGGCGGCAGAAGCGAGGCAAGCTTCCAGAAAACACTGCTGGAGAGCAAGTTCGAGAACGGAGTCCTCCAAGGTGGAGAGACAGGAGGGCGGAGCGACGACGTCAGTCGGTTCGACGTCGCGGGGCTGTAGACCCACCGCGGCCACCAAACAAGCGGCGATGAGGAGAGGCGCAGAGATGCCGCTGTTTAGTGCTGTTTGCACCACCGACTCGATGCGACTACGCAACGCACTAGGCAGAGTCTGTAGCGACTGCTCTTCACGAGGTGGTGTTACACAATTAGTCGAGATGACCAAGTGCCGCGCCACGGAAGCGAGGAAGGGAACCATGGACAGCTCGATTCGATTGCCTTCAACAGTTGTAGTTCGTTGTGGTGATTCCTGACACGTAGAGTGGAACACTTAAGTCATTGTACATCATAACAATCACCGGTCTTAAAAGCTCATAAAATATCAAAATTCGTGGGGTCCATGCATGTCTATAGCTATCCATCGTGTACTATGTATTATTTGGTCAATCGAGACTGGTAAGATTATTTAATAATCCAATACCAATGTCAGAGTTATCTTACCATTACAGTGGGTGTCTTCTAATCCTACCTTATTTTCAACAAGAACAAATGGATGAGTCAGGACTCATTCATCAAGGCATTTCCAACTACCGCATTTCGATTCGTCTATGCCTTAGAATTCGAATCACTTTATCTATAGGGCGCATCTTCTCGGTAATCGAGGCCGTTAACGCTAGATTACATTCGAGCCGACTACTGGATCATATCACAATTTAGGGCACTTCTATTAGGTAAGCAACAGCGTCTAACCGACTGTGGCTCCTCGGAAAAGTTGATATCAGAGGGTGATAGATCGGTAGCGGCCGCGGAGACGGAGGTGGTGGTGGTAGTGGAGGCAGTGGAGCGTCGAAGGAGGGCGAGACTAAGATCAAGGGGACTCTTTCCAGCGGCGTCGCAAGCACAGGGGAGAGCACCGTGAGCGAGCAGTAGACAGACGACGGGCACGTTCCCCTTCTGCACAGCGAGATGCAGTGGAGTGAGCCGATTGCCCAGGGCCGTGCTGGAACTGCCCGCCAGCATGAGTGCGCTCTCCGCATTCACATTCACTGCCGCCCCTCCAGATGTTCCTGTAGCCGTCGAACCTGTTGTAGCAGGAGGGAGGAGGAGAAGGCAATCCACAATCGCCGTATGGCCGTAGAGCACGGCCAAGTGCAGTGGTGTAAAACCGTCTGGACGCGCCTCGTCCAACAGCCAGGGCATTTGATCGCAGTACGATATCAGGGCGCAGAACACACTGTTTATGAGTGGAGAGAGAAAATCCGGAACACTTAGGTTTACTCAGCTTTGGTATTTTGTAACGCTTATGTAGTTTCAGGAATTACCAAGGTATATGGATAAACTCAAACCCACATGGACAGATGGATGGATATGGGATGAATGGATAGATGGGTGGGTGGGCGGACGAATGAATGAAATGTCTGCAGACAATACCACGACTTCCAATAGGTAGGTGAATGTGGCCATGCCATCACCTTGTAAAGAGTGGAACCTTTTGGCTAGTATGATTACTTCCAATAAGTTATGTGTAGCCCTGCGATGAAAACCTTAGTATGGGATTCAGAAAAAAATCGCAAAAGCTCAAATTTGTTAAGGGGCTACATTAAGCAGACACCATGTCAACAGAGGAACAAATGATAGACTATACTTGTTTAGTAGCCAATCAGGATTTGTTGATAAAAGGAATCGCATTGGGAATCGGGCAAGATGAACTCAACTACCCACATTACGACTTCATGTTGATTTGTAAAGAAAAAACTAGTCATCATGAAGTCGTTGAAATCCATTCACATCTTCCATACGTATATTTAGTGGTTTAAGGATGAGGTATGTTTTTTTGGCATTTTACCTGATCAAAAATGGGGAAAGTAAGAGTAAGCCTCTGTTTCGCACTGAAATAGTAAAGCTTCACTTCAAGACTAGAGTTTTTTGTTGGAAGATGAGAACTGTCACTCCATTAGAAGGTGGGACGACATATCTCTTACAACGCAAACACCTTGTTATTCTAGAAATAATTTAAATAGCAACCCAATTACAGAGTACAATTACCAAGTTCCCGAATTTACACACTGCTAAGTAGCCCCAGTTTCGAGTTCTTGCCACTATCCCGATAGTTACACAACCTAAGCATGTGATGTCGCCAGGGTCGTTTTCCATGCAGACTGTCGTGAACTCCCCTTTGGCTCGCACAAAAACAACTGTAAAGTGAGAGTGCTGTCTTGCGATGGACTGTGTCACCGTGTCTATTCAGTGAGTCAACAAATTCACACACCTTATCCTCTGGGTCACATGAAAATGTGATGCTCGAAAACGCAATAGATGACTTGCACACTTCCAAAATAATGGCAAATTCCCAGCACACAAAGAAGCGCCTTGACGCTAAACTACAAGCAAACGAAGTTGTCCCCATTCTAGTTTGGTTTACTAAGAATAGTTTAATTTTAGTAATGAACTTAGAGTGGTCGAAACTTCGCCCCATGATCAGCCCCATCTACCACCACCCAATCAAAAGTGCGCATACGACTGAAAGCAACTTCTACCCGAAGGAACAATAGTGCGATCACGCAGGCTGGTCAAGATTTAAGCAAGAATTCTGTAAGAAGTACACGTAACTACGGTTGTCGTGACTTTTGGCGCGATGATGGCCGAGGCACAGGCACATGCACAGTGTGCGTGCAAGTATTGATTGCTGGGTGCACGTTCGCACGCTCGCATGCACACACGCAAGTGCACAGAGGCATGTGCGACCAATGGGAGAACAACGCGGTGCACACACGCACCCAAACACGCACACGTGGGGGCAAGGCAAGGGGAAGGATGGGGAGTTTTGTGTGCATGTGCATCCCCCACCATCCCAACGATCAATGACCGCTTGGGCCATGCGCCTTTCTGCCTCTCCTGCTAATGCAGCATCACCCCACCACCGCTACCACAGACTGCAGTCAGCAGCCGCAGTAGAGGCGTAAGCCTACACACATAAGTAGGAGGTAGACGCAATATTGTTTATGATGAATAAAAACAAATAATAAGTAAAGTACTCGGTGCGTGAACTTGCAAGCGTTTAGAGGCAGAGTGGATAAATGGATGGTGAAAATCATAAAGTTTGCAGGAGGGATTTTGCCATTAGCGAATGTTAAAGCCAGACAACAGGAACGGTGGACACATGATTCCCGATTTAATGCCTATCTTCCAGAGACTATTCGGATCAGCAGATTACGAGACGGAGGAATTCTAGTGCCGTACTACATTGGCCAATTGGTTAACAACTCACTCCTCATCAAGCGATTTGGTGTTTGATGAGATTCCATTTTACTCAACACCTGGTTGACATAACAGAGTTGTACAAGGTGTCACCACGTAGCGTGTGGTAATTTTCTAAGACGATTTTGCATTATTTGATCACAGCCATTCTGAAAATCCATTCTATCCATTCACCTACCATTAATTCATCATATTACAATAAACATTCTGAGACCATAATTAAAGCGATTAAAACAGTACCTTTCTAGATTTTATGCTCTATATGTTTTAAAAAATTTACTATCTTTCAAAAGCCGAGAGTCTCTTAGCATTAGCTGTACACAGAAAGCATGTAATAATTGTCCGAGAATATCATAAATATTAGAAAGTTATGGACTGCTGTTTAACTAAGGTGAGTGGCATTTCTAACTTTTGCTGGAACATCCATATGGATAAGTACCACAGGATAAAGTCACTATGATAGATTTGCTTATTCCCACCAGCCATTTTTGAAGACCCACAAATCTAAGAGCACACACAAGCCACACACCTACGAGCCCCATTCCACTGTTCACGTGCACCGTGTCCGTAGGGGCTATTCACGTGTTCATTTGGGCTCTACGTTTATTTACCCAGGGGCGAAACAGAAAGGGAGGGCAACAGAACTAGAAGCAATAACGGCAGCACTGAAGAGGTGCACACGCCTGGTCCCAGCAACGTGGTAACCCTCCATTCTCCTACCCACCTTCCCCACTTTTGGTGTGGTAAGATGAGTAATAGCCTCACCGCCACCACCACCGCGGCTGCAGTAGACGTTGGCCCGCCAGTGGGAGTAATCACAGGGCGCACCCAACCCTCACACCCAGTGGTATTGCGATGATGCTGATGCTGCTGACGTGTGCACTCCCCCTCAAGCCCCATGAATCATCCAACCCTCCAACGCGAGGTCATGTCTATGTTGAGGGTAGGAGAGGGATGGAAACGAGACCCTAACAATCAATCAAAAGTTGTATGCAGTACCCCTCTCTCCGAGTCGCATGACAGCAAAAAATCCCGGATTATGACGCAAGACACGTCGTAACCTATTAACCAGATACGCAAACTATGACCTTCTAAAGTGCTTGCTGTGATGGTGAGGTGGAATTGGTGAATTACAATCAAAGGAGCTGGTGTCTGTATAGGAAGAAATAGCCGAACAATAATGGGCATAAAGGGCATGTCCAAAATGAAAAGTGGGTTCTGAAGACGTGCCCAGGTATTCACGGTCCCATTACGTTCCCCTATAGGAATTTGAATGGTGATACGATGTAGTGGATTCGATATTTTTCCATTAGAGAAAAATGGTGCTTCTAATGGGTAAAGTTTACTGCAGAGGAACTTGAAAGGCATTGAAAACAGGACTGCTAAATGCATACTTTAGAAAAAAAAGGAATTCTATGAACGTGACTACATATTCACAACCAAGGTAATCCCTGTAAAGACTTCCGAAATATCACTTGAAAGGGATGTATTTTTGAGCCAACAGCCATAACAATTGTGCTGAAGTGTAATAAAAAGACTAAATTAATACATTGGAGACTAAATAGTTAATTTGAAGCCCGATTAACCGTTGTTAAACATCCACCTTTGAATTAGTAGAATCTTTCATTCAGAATATTCGGCAGCTAGTTAAAAAAATTTATGAAATCCAAAATCAACAAAGGGTTTTAGTATTAATGACAAGGATATGAACTGATCCCCTTGCAACTTGTTATCAACCCGAGCACGAGGAACGGATAGAGAGCTTGATGAGTTTAATGACACCCAGAATGGGGGAGAGGAGGCTTGGCACCAATGGGGAATTAATTGGGGACACATTCGCCCAGTGACCTCACACGGCCTTCTCGCCTTCCCCTTCTAGGTGGGCATAAACATCCTTCTCCCTTTGCAATCGATTATAGATGACTCGACCTCAGTGCGAATCGAGTAACCGATTCGAGGCCTTAACCACGCCTGCAATTCGTTTGACCTTAGAGCCTCAATACCATGCCCCGTAGCCCACATCGATATCACAATCACATTCAACTAGGCAGAGTCCATCCGAGTGAAATTATCCATTTCACCCCAAGAAGTTTGAAGCAGTCTACCTTTGTGCTGTAATTGGCGTCGATTTCATGAAAATGTTGACAGTCAACTCACACCCCTCGTACGAACGGTATTTATCGAGTTCAGGGTTTGAAATACGAGTTGTACAAACTCTGTCCATTCGCGAAACCACGCAATGATTGGTGGGTTTCCAAGTGAAAAGTTCATAGCCATCCTCGAAACATTTTTCAGATTGCAAAGAGTGTATATTAATCCAGGGGCGAAGTAAACACATCAGGTAAATGTGACGCCGATATTAGGCGTAAAATTAAAGTCGACGTAGTCTCTACTTAAATCGAAGTTATGGAATCGGGTATGGTGATTTCATTTCCAATCGCGGGATTGTCTTCAAGAGCCTACTTTATTCACTATGACGAGATGCGACACCTGCAATGCAATCAGGAAAGTTACGTTAACACATCAAAACCACCGGCTAATAGACTCCACTGCCATGTAGGAGTTTGCAGAATGATTAAGGTTGTTAAAATTTGGATGCTAGCCTCAAGATAAAGACCACACAAGAGTATTCCCGTGAAACACGTAGAAAACATCACTCATGAAATTCTGGGGTGGATTGTTTGGAATTATCATCCCTAAATTTCAGATTCACATAACACTCAAAAGTAGATTTTTTTTAAGAGATCGATATATAAACGAATAACGATATATTTGCCAACAGGTGAAGAGATTTGGGTGTAGTTTAATTCAACCATGGAATAAGCAAATCCATCAAGCGTGACTCGATCTTAGACCAGAGTTCTGGAATTTAAGAGCATAAAATAGTTTTGCATCATATAAGCATTGCCAAGTCCTGATTTCATACCCTAAAATAAGATGTGGCGGCTAGGAATGCCCATAACCGAATCTTTATGC